TAGGGCCTTCAAATTCTACTGAACTGAGGGCATTGCTTGTCCTATTTGAGAACTGGATCTGTGAGTCTGAGCGAACATTGATTGTCTCATTTGTCTGACCCCCTGCCCCAGTGCCCCTGGCAACACCCGAACACCAACATTGGTATTGGCTGGGACATATCCGACTCAGGCCTCAGCCTCGTCATCAGCTCATCACTCATCACTTTCATCAGTTGATCCAGATAACAAATTACTATTTGATTTTTTCCTACGTTTTCCCAGTCTAAGTTAATTGGACCTACAAAACAAACTAAGAGATATTATATCAAAATTTCTATTTCAAGAGAGCCTTCAGATAGATTAGATACTGACCGATTTTCAAAGTGTCACAGGCTCACAGCTCTTACCTCTTACCAACGTCCGTCGTCGACCGCAGCTCGAACCGGCGCTGAAGACGCTGAAGTGCGGAATCGGCGCTGATGTTCACACCAGGTGGCGAAAAAAAGGTCCATCGATTACTACGGAAGTTAGAAAGTTTCCAGAATTTCAGGCCCGCATAAAAATAAATTTCTATTTATCAGAGGTGCAATGGAAGTTATTTAGTTTTTTATGATTTCAGCAACAAAAAAATAAGAAATATCTATTTTAGGCACTATTTCAATAATTATTATACTTTAGTACACCATATGAACACTGGCCAATTGTATATGGTGCATATACTATATAGATGGCAATATCCAGTTATCCACGTCTCGGGCAAATATCCGCACTTGATTTGTCCCCACTTCCTACTAGATTGGGCGAGTATTTCCGCTGCGTATTATTAACGCGTTCCATGCAGCACGCTAAACTTTAAGCCGCTCTCACACAGGGCGGGAAAAAAACCGCCGCGGGATTTCCCGCGCTATCATTCACACGAGGCGGTTTTTCACGCTGGAATCTATCAGACTTGCAGCGCTGTTCTCCGTAACACGGTAACAGTGATCCTCAGTTTTTGTGAACTATATCTATAAATGCCTGCTCATAGCAAAGAAAAGAAACCTCTCCTTTTATATTTGCTGCATGAAAGACAGCAAAGAAAGACCGATTCGACACTTCAGCGAACTGTGGCACGCATAAATCCTTCAATAATGAACGGATTTTATTCAAATTTTAAAATAAGTAGATAATATCAGTATTTTGCGGGGGGAATTTTTTTAAAATACTGATATTATCTACTTATATTTCAAATTTGAATAAAATCCGTTCATAATTGAAGGAGTTATGAGTGCCACAGTTGAAAATGAAGTTAGGTTTTCCGTATTAACAAAAAAGTTATTGATGTAAAAATCTGAAAAAATTCCCCCCGCAAAATACTGATGTCAAAGTTAAGAATAACTTTGTTCTGGGTTGACAGTCATAATCTTGAAGGATCTGTCTGATCTATTGTAGATAAACCTGAGGGGTTTGGGTTCATTATAATTGTCCGAATAACATATTAAATATTCATTTGCCAGGGGAAGGATAATGACAAGACGTGTATCTAAGCGTAAGTATTAAAGGTAGTTTACGGATACACTTGATAGAAGTCACAGGATGAAAGCATAGTATGTGCAGTATACTTTCGGAGAAGGAAGATTACGACACTGCGTGTTAGAATGAGTGCCGGAGTCTAGAGTCAACTGCATGACTGCAGCTGAAGGCTGTCTGCCTAAGACTGAGACTGCTCGTCTACGACTGACTACTTACGACTGACTGGCAGTCGGCTCACCGAGCTTATATACGCGGTGACCCACGAATAGTGACGTCACAGAAGGTGACGTAATAGTCGCTGATGACATCACGGCCTGACACTGATATTATCTACTTATATTTAAAATTTGAATAAAATCCGTTCATTATTGAAGGATTTATGAGTGCCACAGTTGAAAATGAAGTTAGGTTTGCATTCGAGTTCGCAGGCGAGTTCGCACGCGAGTTCGCTGAAGTGTCGGACCGGTCAAAGAAAGAAACACAAAGAAAGAAAAGGAGGTGCTGGGGTCACAATATAGTAAAATTAAGGCCACAAGAAGGTGAATTTGCCACGCTATTCTAAAAATTCAGAGAAGATGAAGTAAAATTCTTCAATTATTTCCGAATGTCTGCCGAAAGTTTTGATGAATTATTGTCTTGGTGCAAGGCAAATTAACCCACAACAGCATGCAGTTGAGAGACTCCGTGCATGCTATTGAAAAGCTGGCTCTAACTCTCACACACACCCTCGCTACCCACTGTCTGTGCCACATTCGGTAGCGGCGTGAAAAACCGCCCCGTGTGAAAGATTACATTGAATACCATTGCAAGCTAAACAGTCGCGGGAAATCCCGCCGCACTTTTAGCTTGACACACGCGGTCTTCGGGCGTGAAATTTCACGCCGCGTGAAAAGCCGTCGCGTGTGAATAGCAGTGCACATTTTATATGTTCGCTGAGGTTCGGCGGGAAATCCCGCGGTGGTTTTTTTCACGCTGGCGGTATTTCACGCCCTGTGTGAAAGGGGCCTAATTAAGGTAGAAAACATAGCGGAAAGTCTGTCAGGGCTTGTAGTAGTCTATTATGAATGAACAGCTTCGTTGTCAATTAGGTCAATTCCGATCTGATAAGTTATACGCGGGAAAGGTGCTTGAATTTAGCGTTTAGCACACAAATTAAAAACAGCGGATAATATATTACATCGAAGCTCGAAGTAGGGTATTGTGAATGATTAGCTTCGTTGTTATTCATTCAGATATCGGTTCATATTTGAAAAAAAAAGTTATGCGTTGAAAGCTGTGTGCTCAACGCGCTCTTATAGCAGTGAGGTGCTAATTGAAACGAAGCGAGCAAAAAAAAAAAAAAAAAAAAAAAAAAAAAATCGATAACCCTAGAGTTACAGGGCCAATTCATTTGATCTATTTACTGTCTACTGTTGATTAATCCGTTTCCTTTGCATAAGACTTAGTGATTCGCGACAACTGATGGAAACATAAATATGCCGAAAGGCAGCACAAAGAGGTTTTCTAGTGTTGGTGCAGAGGGTGTTGATATAACATAACATAACATAATGATGTCGGCGCTGAAATGTAGGCCTGATGTGGCCTGTCGCCGATTATTTTCCTTTTCGTGCCTTGTTCATAGATCTAAACTCATATCATTTGATCGGATCTTTTCATGACTGGTGATAGTTTGAAGTAGCTACTAGACTTCCACCGGGTTCGATAAGGAGCTACTGGTAGGCATTTAAAATCTGAACATATATTTTTCCATAGCTTTATCTAGTCTGTTCTTGAACGCGTTCATACTCGGAGCGCCAACGATGTCATCGGGGAGGCTGTTCCACATGTCGGTGAGCGAGAAGAAATTTTGTCGCGTGGAGAAGTTGCAGCGCAATTTTTTTAGCTTATAGCCGTGGCCCCTGGTGTTGGTTCTTGTTTCAAATTCTAGTAACCCTTCAGGGACCTTGTATAGACCATGAGTATACTTGTATACTTCAATGAGGTCCCCACGCAGGCGTCGATAACTGAGGCTTGGAAGCTTCATAATCTTCAATCTTTCTTATGATAATCTTCAATCTTCTTAATATAATTAACAGTAATAAATATACGTTTAAAAATTACTTTTTAAAGACAACACTTCCAAAGAATCCAGTGTGTCCAATCCAATCTTACAGATGTACAATGAATTTCTCATATAATTTTCGAATTTAAAAAATTTAAATTTTCAATTTTTTAATACATAAATTTTTTTAATATATAAATTTTTTTCAAAATTATTTATTCTATTAATTGATTTATGCATTGCCTCTGACTTCACACAAGTGTGCAAAATTTCAGATCAATTAGACAGGTAAAAATGTGTCAATTATCTGTTATAAGATTTGTAGCTGACAAAATTACTTTTTCAAATTTTTTTAATATTGATTTTTTTTCAATTTTTAAAATCATTTATTTTGACATTTGATTTATGCATTGTCTCCAACTTTACACAAGTGTGCAAAATTTGATCGATAGGATAAGTAGAAGTGTATTAAATTTCGATTACAAGATTTGTAGCAGACAGACAGAGTGACAGACAGACAGACAAACAAACAAACAAGAAGTAAAGTTAGAGAGAAGTGTTGTAAAAATTAGTTGTTATTCCAAAAATTTAAAAAATAAACGTCAGGACATTTATGCCTAGACACTGAAGGCATATTCTTAAGCGCCGACAATACCGACATCACTATGATTATATGATAGGACACATCGCAGACATGCCGCTGCTCCTGCGGATTCAGCTCGCCGCCTCAATTCTTTGATCAGTTCTTCGCCACCTCAGCGTCCTCCCTTAGTTCCCTGCTTACTGCTTAGTGTTAGTAGTTATTTTGTTAGTAGTAAAGTTTTATATGCATGAGCACCATCCTGGATTTACCTGTGATCAAAACCGGAAGCCCAGCTAATAAAACCTTCAAGAATCATTGACACATAACGCTGAAACTTTCTGCTGAGACTCAGCAGAAAGTTTCAGCGTTAAACCTGGACTCAGCAGCTGAGTCCAGGTTTTAAGGCCCTGATTGAAAACCGAGAGGCTTCGAACAGGCTCGGCTCTTCCCTAAGCATTTCTTCACTAATTAGGATAGACTTTACTCCACTCGCAAATGAGATGGCGATATGGATTTTTCCATACTTACCCAGCTATTTATTTATAAGCGTTGACCAGTAACAAAAAATATGTAAACTTTGTATTAAAAGAGTTTTAATGAGAGGAAATTTCAAGAAACTTCGAATATTATTGTTCATCATGTCTGTGATTTTTTTACTTTTTTCGAGATGTTAACGGGTTGTAATTTTTATTCTGCTCCTCTGCGTAAAGCACACTTGGCTGATCTTAAGCTTGAAATGTCCACACTTATTAAGAACTGAGGACAAAACTCATCTTTGAAGCCTGAAGGCAATATGCAATGAAGTTGCTGGGATTCATCAGCCTGTAAGCAGCTACCCATAATCAAGGAAGACACAAAACTAATTTTGTAATTATTTTATTTACAGATATGAACTTGATTCTACTAAAGAACTACATACAAGATCAGTGCACATTATTTAAAAAAAATGCAGATTTGGTGATATATTAGCAACAAGCATGACCCCACATTTGAGGTTGACCATTTATAGTAGATGGTTTGCTATTAAAAACAATGCTTCTTCAGTAAGGTATGCACAGCTTTGATGCACATTGCACAATGTAGTCTATGACAAAAATTGTAAATATGTGAAATTGTAAATGTATAAATATCCTAAGTTTAAAAGTTATTTCATACTTAAAAACATTTCTGAATGTCATAACAACCAAGTTCTAATTTGGCTTCATTGCTGATAAATTTTTCTAAATATTTAGATTGACTTGAAAAACATACTATGTTCATGTAACAATTGGACCAAATTGTGAAGTTATTAATTTGTTTACAAAATATTTCTGAGTGTAATTAATGACAGTGCATTTATATTATAAATAATTTCTTACCTAATTGTATTTTGATTTAATGGATGTATGTTCAGGAGATGGATAGAATGGAAGTTATTCCTCTTCAATGTGACAGTGAAGAGCCTGTTCTACACAGAGCTCATGTCACCATCATTTGCTGCAGAAGTTCTGCTGGAGCCCATAGTATGGGTGGTTGACCACTTTACCCACATTCTAGGTCCTGTGAGTGGCTCATTACTTCAGTTATTTATATAACATCACTTTTAATTGTCTAATTTGATCAGTGTATGTTTAATAGCCTTAGGTTGAAGTTGATGGTGTGCACATATGTGGAGGCTAATTTCTTTGTAAATAAATTTAAATTCAACTAATTTGATTGATCAATTAAATCAACAATACTTTTTAATTCAGTTAAAAAATTCATATTTATCCCGTTTTTTCATAAATGGTAAACTATGGATGTTGATACATTGTGTTCTATTGTATGTGCAGATATTAATTGCTGGTGTGATCATTCTGACTGGCAGTGTGGTTTTCGTCGTATATTGGCTGGGCCTGCCTTTTTACCGTGACAACAGGCCCTACATGTACGCAGTGCTGATGCCCTATGGTCACTGGCTTTTTCTTAATGTTGTCTTTCACTTCTACATGGCTTGTAGAACACCTCCAGGAGCTGTGCAAAAAGTAAGTTAGGAGTGATGAACTCCATTTTCACAGCTTTTTTGTTTCAAAACAGGGACTTTTCTCATGACATAATTTTTTTACCATAGTTCTATTTGCTACAGTTCCCCTATTGCTCATGTCATGCCATATTTTTCCTTAGTCTGTGACTCTGTGTTAACTCAGCTTTGCTCTTTTAACTCATTTTCCAATATCTGTTTAAATTAAATAGCTTTTATACTTTACTTGAAATAAGTATCCCACAATTGTCATCATGCATTATCATGTTTGTTGTAATAAATATAAAGTATGATTATTATTACAGGACTGCTTCATCACAGAGGCGGTGACAGTGTGTAAGAAATGTATAGCACCCAAGCCACCCAGGACACACCATTGTTCAGTGTGCAACAAATGTGTGCTGAAGATGGACCATCACTGCCGTATCCTTTACGATCATGCCCCAAGGCTCACCACGTTAATGCTCAGTAGATATTTATTAAGGATTTCCAGAAAATAGATTTTGTTTCTTGCTAGGGCATTAAATTTTGAATTAATATTTCAGTTTTTTATTTTTTATATACCATAGGTACTCTATTTCTTGTTTAATATGGGGATTGTGATGTTACGTTATATTGATTGATTTGTATTTCTTCTTCAAAAAATGAAATTTCAGTTCAGCTTATAATCACATGTTTAAGATGAGAGGAATATATTGTAAAACAATATTTCTTTGTAATAGGTGCTTAAATTCAAAACATTTGAAAATGTTATAGGTTGGTAAAAATTTTTAACTTTCTGTTCTGTAAGCTAAACCCGGAATCGCTTCCTCTAAAATTTTCTTTATTTAAGTCTTGAATAATTTCTTAATAAGTACTCAGCATGGATCAACAACTGCGTGGGGCATTTCAATCACCGCTATTTCTTCCTGTACATGGTTTACATGCTGCTAGGCTGTCTCTTCATCATGATGTTTGGTGCTGAGATTGCCTACCGAGAGATCTGGCTCGGTATGTTAATGCCAAGATATGATTTATTATGTCTTAGGTATCATCTGTATAAGATAGATACAATTTAAGATATAGTAATATATTATATCTGATTATATTATGAAGATATTTTATAATAGTAAACAACATATTTGAACTAGCGCTATAGTTAGGATGAATGATTATAATTATCAAGTTATTTTGTAAAGGTTCACTAACTACTTCTTTAATTTTGAATGTAAAAGGATAAAAACAGAATTATAGAATTGAAAATTTGTTTATATGAATTGCAAAGCCTGAAATTTACTTGAATTATTGTATAATATTTCCAAGTATCATGTCATAGTTTTGGGTCTTAGTATGATTGCCATTACCTCCTAGGCGGGAGCGGTGGCCCTGCTTTACGAGACTCATTCTACACATGGTGCGGTCTCAGCGACGACACTGCCAGCATCTCCATCCACGCGGTTTGTGGTGATTCCATGACTTTATCAACCAACATTACTCAAATTTCATGACTATAGTTGCTTCATATTGAATTAGATTTCCAAAATTTGTTACTGGCGCACCTAAAATATTTATGGGAGCATTTGTGTCTTTCAATCACACAATTCGATATTGCTTTTGAAATTTTTTGCCATGCGTTGTTACATTTTTTTTGAACAGATGTGTTTGAAGGTAGGTATGATCAATTAATTTTACTGTGACAACAGTAAAATTAATTCATCTATTCATCAACACGCTTTGTCTCTCATCACCTAAGATTCGTTAGCAGGGCAAGTCTGAAGGCATGTGTGACTTATTTGTAAAAATTGGTTTGTTGAAACTAACAAATGCATACGGTGCAGGCAACTAAAAAGTATGAAAATGAATGAATTAAGTTTGCATCTTTGCTTGCTTTTAGGAAGAAGATGAATATACCTGACACTGACCACACCAGATGTCTTGCTTGTGCTTAGGAAGAAGCTGACACACCTGATGTCTGCCTGTGCTTAGGAAGAAGCTGACACCCCTGATGTCTTGCTTGTGCTTAGGAAGAAGCTGACACACCTGATGTCTTGCTTGTGCTTAGGAAGAAGCTGACACCCCTGATGCTGAGGAGGCTGTGGCTAAGAAGAGACAAGAACGCTACTGGCTACGCTTTGCCATCACCTACGCTGGCCTCCTCACCGTTGGTGCGGCGACTATTTCATTAGTTCTTATAAAATAGATTCACTCTGTTATCATAGTTATGAATTTTGGTGCTCATACATCAAGTAATCATTTTGTATACTAAAATATAGGTAATTCCTTGTGACATTTTTCTTATTGAGTTCGAAACTCAAAATTAGTATAACCATTACTCATCATTGATACAATGCAGTGATCCACTGCTAATTTTTGCTTTATTCGTTTGCGGCTTCTGTACATCCCAGATTTTTCAAAGATATTTGTCTGAAACTTTTATAATTAATATAACTGTTAAATCTCTCAAATTACTGGTTTAGTGAAATTTAGAGTTTCAAAACTATCATAATTATTAATTTCTCAAGAGAATGATCTAATTAAATTTGGATTTTGAAACTGCCATATATAACTGTTGATTTTCTTGAGTGACTGATCCTATAAATTGTGATTTTTAGAATAATCATAATTGCTAATTTTGAGAAATAACATTAGTTTTTGTAATATTTGATAATGGTTGGTGTTCCAAAGATGGTAGCATATGAGATCTCTGTTTTAAATTGATCACTTCAAGCTGGCGCACAGAGCTCACTGTAAAATATACATAGTTAGGAAAATATTCTGTACGCCAGCGTGTAGAGCTAAATTTAAAGCATGCATCTTCACAGCTACCATCTTGCAAACATCAATCGTTATCATAGTATAAAACCATGCAACGATTTTATGAACATCAAAAGTTACTGGGCAAGGCTGCTATCATCCCTCATATAAAAAATATAACTCGGTACTCACTGCAGTGAGTGAGAGAGAGCGCATTTTCTCGTCGACGAAAACTTGAGGTCACGGACGGACGGACAGACAGACAGACGGACATGGCGAGCACAATAATGTTTTTTTTTCCATAAATCATAAAATGCGCTAAAAACTGACAAGGCTGTGATCCCTCAGGATGCTTCGCGTCACTGGGGGCACTGGCGGCGTGGCATGCGCGGCTCATCGGGCGCGGCGAGACGAGCGTCGAGCAGCACATCAACGGCAAGGAGCGCAAGCGTCTTGCTGCGCTCGGACAGGTCACTTATAACCGCTGATTTCTTCACATGTGCTGCTCATTTGTTATAATATAAACGCTAGGTAATTGTTAGTCGTCCGACATTTATGCCGGCATATCCTGGTCTACTGCCATGACAAATCCGTTTTATGTTTTTTATGCTTCTCATTTGTCAACATTCTATTCATTATTTGTCATGAAACATTGTATTCAACATTGTATTCATAATTTGTCATGACAATCCCATGTTACTTGTTGTATTACACTTCATTTGTCAACATTCTATTCATTACTTGCCATTGCAATACCGTCGTACGTCTTGTACACTTATCACGTGTTAACATTATATTCATTATTTGCCATCATTATTTTTTCTTACGTGTTGTACATTCATCACGTGTCAACAATTTCTGTACATTAAAGGCTTACAAGAATCCTTACGACTTTGGCCCGCGCCTCAACTGGCAGCTGTTCCTTGGTACGCAGCCTGGCAGGTGAGCTAAGGGTTCCTAATTAAATAACTTGAAGTTATGGGATTAAATGCATTCATTCTCTGTATTTTTCAAATAAAATGGGTAACTACCTTTTGTTTTTACTGATATTCGTCAGTCGCTGACCTGAAGTGCTTCGTACGATGTACTAGGTGCCTCAGTGCTTCAGAGAGTTTACATCCATGCTATTATTATTTTTATTTTTTGCATTTACAGCGTTCAACGTCCGTTTGTACGCCTATGCCATTATTTTCTATACGGTACCTACATTTAGAGCGTTGAATGCGAGTCTGTTGCCAGTTAGACAAAGCAAATCGTCGTAGAAAATCACGGATACCGTTGCCTAGTGCATTCTTAAATTTGGAATGAGGAAAGGTGGTAAATACGGATTTAGTGCTGCTCTGTCGGAAATTGCAGGTATTTTTCATTTATCATCTTACTGATTTCTTGATAACTTCAAGTTCTGTACCAAAGTTTGCGATTCTTTGATTCTTTTAAATATGAAATTTTATGTGATTGCAGTGAAGTACTTAAATATGCTATCAAATGAATAGTTTTATATTCTATAATTTAATTCAATGGCAAGCAAAGGTGCGTAGAAGCACTTTAAATTTTTGTATACAGCTGAATAGCCATTCGGGTCGTATTTTTGACACATTAAGTAGCCCGATAGATGAAAATGGTTTCACATTCAATCTTTTGTTTACAGCGAGAAATTATTTGAAAGTCTGTTTACTGGTTTGCTGGAAATAAATTATGGAGCTCATTTGTGCATCTTTAAAGTGAATATAGGACTTTAAAGTGAATATTGCATCTTTAACTGAGTGTATATAGACGCCACGTTTGCTTCTTGCTATTACTTAAAGCTTTTTTTGGCAATACGTGAATTTTGTTCCCTCCATTGCAGCGGACGCAACTTTTTCCGTCACGTACTGATGCCGTCGTGCCACGCCCCTCTTGGCACGGGCCTGACATGGACGACTTGTTACCACGACCAGCGGTGTCCTGGAGGCCACTTTGGCGGCCATCAGAGTGCGCATCCCAATAGCCTTCCTGAAGGGCATGCGCGACGCGACAATGAATATTCATATCACCCGGAATCTGGTAGCATGAATTCGCTACCAGCTAATGTAGGAGATTTGGATTATTATAAGGAAAGCCTGGACAGATCTCAGAGTTCATACCAGGTCAAGAACTCTGGTGCGCAATGTCAATTCGATGTTGAATATTCGCGTCAGCTTGATTCTAGTAGAGCATATAAATCTTCAAATAATATAAGACATGTTGCCGTTGAAAGTGGAAGTGGGAATGCACATGATTTGATTCAGCAAGACAACTTAACTGGGGATGAACAAGACAAGTCTTTGCCTGGTCTAGACAGTTCTTGTACGAGAATGTCCGCACTAGATCGTGCAATGAGTTCGCCGGAAGTACAAAATAATATTAAGGACTCAGTCTTGTTAGCAGAATCGAATTTCGACTTGAACTCAGACTTTCTTAACCTTCCTGTTCCTTCTAGTCATATTGCGTTGACTACGCGTGAATTATTTCCAAGCAAACGTCAAACTTGCGATGATCTTGCATCTCAGGATAACGACAACGATACTCATGATCATTATAAGATTGCATGACATCGATAACTCCCGTTACAGGTTCTATCATGTGTTGTTTTAGTCAACAATATGTAATAAAGCATGTCTTGGTGAGATCTCAGTTACTTCTTTTTGTAATTTATTCACAGCGTATGCGATGTATAGTATTGAAAAATAATAGTAATAATTTTTAATCATTCCTTGTAAACTTTAAGATCATTTAATTTTTAGACCTGAGATGTGAATCCTGTTTCCTGAAAAGGCGAGTGAAATACGTTTTTGTCGGGTTGGATTCATCCCTGAGACTTGAGTTTCGGTGCGTTGTCTAGCCAGCATCAGCGAATTATTCCTGTAGGATCGTGTTTGTCACTAATTGTATAAAATGCAAACTAATGATTTGAATAGCTGTCTTGAGTGTTTCCGAGACATTCCTGCTTCTGAAATTTAACTCAGTTACTATATGAATAATGTTATAAGAACCACGCCTCAGACAGGCGATTTTCTCGCAATGACAGGAGTTGATCAGTGGTAAACATTTGAAGTTAATGCTGGCGAAAAAAAATATACGCACTTTTCCAGACAATGATTACCACATGATAAAAATTTTTTGTTGGTCTCATATTTCGATTAATAAAGTAACAAATGGAAATATGTATAATGTTAGTTACTTATTTGATAAGTCATTAAATTTTACCTGTGTATTTGTGATAAATAAGTAATGAATTTCAAACCTAGACGGGATATAGAAATATAACTGAAGACGTAACCCGTTGATACAAGGCAGACAATTGGTCATCGAATGCTATTTACTTAAAAACAGCATCGCTATATCTGTTGTAATGAATTTTTAGTCGTCTACTTTCACATGTTTTCACGTGTAAAATACGCTTTTGAAGTATCGGAATCTATGTATGTACCGGTTTTTTTTTGTGGGGATAATGCGAGTGATACCGGAAAAAGAACTAGGGACTTGTGCTTCAATGAAAGTGAATTGAAAACTAACGTAAGTATGTTGTGGTGAAGTACATATGAGACTTGATGCCGAATATTACTTCCATAATAGATGAGTTAATCCCGTAATAGATAAATTTAGAGTTAATCCCATAAAAGATAACTAATAATTAATCCCATAATAGATAAATAAAAGCTAATTAACTTGTACTGCTCGAAATTTCTAATAAAAATTCAAGTCTTGCGGTATTTTTGACGAATTTGCCAAAAAGTCTAAATCCGTTTACTTTGTTCATGATATTTCCAATCTTAGGAACTGTATTAGTTTTCAAGTTATCAGAAGAAAAAAGTCATATATGAAATTTGCTTAGGCCTGCCACGAAGGAGGAACGAAAACTTGAGTGAACAAAATTTTCTTTCTTAACGCTCTACCGCCGTATGTCACTCTCCGGGAACATGACTTTCAGCTTAAATTATACACGTAAACTATTGAGTGTAGCAACCTGAGTACGTTTGTGCGTAACAGAGAACTTTTGAAGTTGTACGTGGCGGCAACCATTAGTGCAAGTAATTTTGTGCTCTCTATAACCTAACCTTTTTGGGAATTAGGCTTGTGACAATATTGCTCCGGTTACTCTTGTCAGGCGGTAGAGGTTAAATCGTGAACGCGCCGGTTAAAAATTATGAATAGTATAATTTTTTACGATAAAGTTTCGATTAGTTCATCTAAATCAATGACGTTGTCATGAAGCGTGAGTTCATCACTCAACGGCCTCGTGCATATTCCCTAGGATGAACACTCGTCGTAGTCGATCAAGATACAATTTACGGATTTAAGTCTATGTTGGATAGCTGAAGTTCTAAGGCGTTGTATGTGTAGTTCAAAGGCGTGCGAATTCATCATTAATAGTTTGTCGCCGGTATTAGCAATATTATTAAAATGGGGCACAAATTGCCGGCATTATATTATATGTACCTATTGTCTTCGAGCTTACCCACGTGATTTTATCTATTATATTATTATCAAAAGAATTTTGCATTTGTGTCTAATTTTCACTGAATTGTTACAGAGTTCATTATATTAACCCATTTTTCGCGCTCAAGTTCATTATATGAAACCTTGATATGAAAGAACTGACATTGCGCGTTAATAGGGACGTAGCACATCCAAAGTATCGAAACATGCTAACAGGGTTGAAGAACCTAAATAGTATCGAAGCATTACGGATTGAAGCACCCAAACAGGATCGAAGCCCATCTTAAGTTTAGCTGACCCCCAACTAACTCAATTAGTATCTTATACATGGCAGAGCTCGGCACTGCCGATTTATAAAATAGAATAGATGTGTCTGCACTGAAGAAATAGGCCCATGGCCTGTTGCCGATTCTTGAATTTTTCGTGACTTGATTCACTAGGGTATCCGGCCTTTGGAACCCGATCTTTCCATAACTGACGATTGATTGATAGCTGCTGGACTTATTACCAGTACGTCTTTTGTTTTTACACTTAGTAATAAAATAAAAAACTATCAATCGGTTCAAAACGTTTATTTAACCAACACAACATGAAATTCATTCGAGTTCGTACAGTTATAATGTGTAAGTAACATTTTATACTCTCGGTTCTCCAGAACACATGTAAATACATCACAATTTCTACTAATTGGTAATTAAACTGTAGAGTCTCGGTACGAATAAATCGGTGTTTACATTTGCCGTTTGTCGATCGTTTAATCGGCCTAATCGAAATAGGACCATCGGAAACCATACTTCGAGATAATTGATGTTCAGCGGAATAAGAGGCAGTACAAATAACATTTCAAGGGTGACCCTAATCTCGGTGCATTTACACAAATCAAACTTTACTCAAGATGTTATTATGTCTATCGTTCACTTGCGAGGTGCTGATGAAAACCCGAATTTTCCTGCTTATAATTTAATGAAGAATTAAGAAAAGTGAATATAAATGGTATAAAAATCCACGAAAGTCTGAATATTTACAAATAAAATGTGCTAAGCTAAACCTAATAGTTACTTGGAAACAATGGGGGTTAAAAATGATACTATTCTCTTCTTATCTCTATACTTAACTAGTATATTTCTTTATTGTGACATTAAAATCGAAGTCAAGGCTCCGCGAGCAGCAAGGGAGCAACCCTCATGTTGAGAGGACCGAACAACTCTGACGAGTACGGATGACATGTGTACCCGGGTTGACTGAATGCCAAGTCGTCATTGAACGAAGGCGGTGGTAATAAGTTGTATTCATTTCTCGGGCTAAAGTCAGTGTAAGTGTTATCTACGTGGCCAAGGCCATGAACTTGTCGTTGGAAATGTGCCATTAGCAAGGCTTTCTGCTCAGGCGTGATGTGAGCCACTGGCACCGGCGGTAGGAAATGTTGATCGCCGAGGTAGAACTTCAAATGATTTTCTTGGTACTGGAAGGGTTTAACGGGGATCGGTGCCTTGATTTCATTAGACTTAGTATAAGATTTAAGTTTTTTAGAAGATAAATGAGATACGTTTATCGAAGATGGAGTATTATGTTTATCATAAGAAGTGCACACACTGGCAGACGTATTTGAACTTGACGAAGTTGGACTGAGACTGCACTTCACTAGCCGTTTCTTTCGCTTCGGCGACTCTGGTTTCAAAATTTTCTCAATGGAATGAGTTATGAAATTATGAGCTTCTTTTTCATTTTCAGTATGTGCCACGTCATAATTTTGTAGTTCATTTGAGTGGATACAGGATTCTTCCTCTAACTGACTTCTCATGTACAAATCGTGGCTTGCGCGGTCTAACTGAGGATCGAGGATCGTTTGCGAACCGTTATTCCAGGCAGGGTAGAGATAAGGGTACTGGGGCTGACACTCATTGTTTTTCGAGCCAGTGCACGTCTTGGCTACAAATCTCTTCTTACGTCGCTGAACTGTGCCTTCTTCAAACATTCGATACGCTTCTTCATGCAAACGCCAATAATTTCCCTTACCTCCACCCTTACGCTCCACTTTCACGAAGCAATCGTTGAATGAAAGATTATGCCTCAAAGAATTCTGCCATTTGTTCGAAGTATTTCGGTAATAAGGGTAATTTGTCATGATAAATTCGTAGATTTCCGATAGCGTGGCCATTTGACTTGGGTTGTTTTTTATAGCTTGAGCACAAAGAAAAATATACGAGTAAGGTGGCTTGCCTTGAACGTCTTCGGCTTTTGGTCGCGGCATCTTGAACAGTTCGTTATACGGTAGTGTGGCTGGTGTCTGCAGGCGACAGTCTCGGTTGATGTACTTCGTTGGCAATCGTTTCTGGAGAGCAAAGAATACCCTATTGAAACTTTAATACACCACTGCAAACTAAAAATTTACTTTAAAATGTATTTGGTTTTCGATTACAAAGTTGCTGGACCTCTAAAGGGAGTAATTCATCAGCTAAATCTTTATGCATATTAGCCACAAAAAAATCTAACGCTGACTCGTAATTCGGAAATGTAAATTAAAAGTTAATAGATAGGTAATTCTTTGACAATATTTTAGCAGCTTGTAGAATTATTCTTCGCTTGAAATCAAATTGTACACCCATAAAAAATTACTGATAGAGAATAAATGCAAAAATTTTTTATAAATTGATGGCCATAGCAAAATTTCAGAAAAATTAAAACATCAGCTATTCCAAGATACTTCGTCAAGTTTGACCCATTTCGAGATTTCCTTCTTTTATAAATAATACATAAACGTGTTAACTGTTACAAACTAAGTTATTGAGCGTAGTTAAAATTATATGCAGAAATTACTGTAGGAGCGCGACTTCAATTAAGTTTCAATATCTGAATATTATCATGTCAACGTTACAAAGAGCATCCAAATATGAAAGAATAAAATTCCATTTATTATTTAACAAAAATATATTCACAACTGTGAGAATGATTATTTCATGTGTCCATAATCAGAAAATATTAAACCTATGTCTCATGTCAGGATGTAATTTAGAAAGAGTTTATTAATACTTACGAATTTGATGTGATAATAGAGTGCAAGCCTGATGTGCGTAAGCTAGCTCCCTTCCAAAAAGTTTAAGGTCAAGTTTCACCGAAGCTCTACAGTCAATTTTCAAGCGCTTCTTTGCAGACACTGAACTTCTATTCTATTCTTGGTCAATTTATACACTAACTTCGAGGATTGCGATTGGCTATTGGAATTGTTTACCTGGCCAACCAGAGGAAAGTTTTCGCCTGTTTCTTGGCCAACCAGTATGCGGGTTCACAACGTAACTCCTGGCCAATAGAAAGCGCCTTTGCATCTTGGAACTAACCAATATTTTGGGTAAAATAAAGACCCGGCTGGAGTAACCATGAAAACGATGCGTAAATTAAAAGGTTTCGAGGGCTTGTTGTACAATAGCCAAGTTAATTTATTACGACATATGGTATGAAGCTTTTCGGAGAAAATGTGCATTCTGTTTTCAAGTGCCTCAAAATGGGACTTTCTGTTGAAGAAGTCCGTTGAAAAGTACATAATTTCCGTTCATTACTTACATTTGTTACGCTTATTGGGCACGTAAGAATTTCAACAAATTTTGAAGCCATAATTAAACACGTAACTGACATGGGTAATGGTGAAACATACCTTTGTTAAGTGCGTTTTATCTCCATTACTAATTACGAGAGTATATTGGTTGAACACATCTTTGAAAATCATCCTATTTTCATGTTAGATTAGCAGGAATTCATTCAAACATAAATTGAATTCGGATGATCAGAAATACAGTGGGGTTTGGTAGCAATTACAAGTGGAAGTTAGTAGTACTATTTCGGAGTGGGTAATTTTCAGTACATTATCGTGCTGAAAAACATCTCTTGTTCTTTTAGCAGAGTAAATCTGCGAAATACGAAAAGTATATTGCTTTAAAAGAATAAAAAAATTCTCTTTTAATAAGTTGTCATATTTTTTCACAATTTCCGCTCCATATAATACTGCAGATTATTAAAGGAAAACAGTACCTTCTATTAAAATATCCCCGCCTATGGACTTACTAGTAAACAGAACTCAGATGTAGTAAAATCTTCTATTACACATTTTGATTAAATATAATTTATTCAACATGGAATATCATATACATTAATACAAGCACAGGAGCGACGGCTCATGCATGACCAGAGCACACTAGCTTATGTTGCTCATCTCAAACTTCGAAACTCTCTCAACCTATTTCATATAAATTTTCAGTTATAAACAAGAAATGTTCAAGGCGATCCTAGGCCGCTTTATTACCATGACTTTGTAGAAGTTTCATCGAAGCGTGAACTTACAAAGTAAAATTAATGAAACTTACTGAAACACGTTCCATTCTGCGTCTTCCGCCCACTTGGCCAATTTGCCATCATAAGTCTTGATACTGAAGCACAGTCTTCTTTGCCATTGAAGTCCTCGCAAGTGACATAATATTGGCTCAGCCCAATGTTTCTTTGGCCGATAAAACGTTTTGACAAATTAGATTATTAGAGCAGGCTCGAGTTGACTTGAATAGCGGACCCTAAAGTTGTGCCCCTGAGATTGCAACGATTTATCAAAGCTGCGGACGTTAATAGACTCGGCGGCTCCGGCCCCAAACCGCCTCTGAGAAGCCATGCAAATTTCTTGAGAGGGGATTTATTCTCGGAAATTCTTTATTTAGTTCTTCTGTGATCGCATATTTTAGATGAACTCAAGTGATCCTATATGATCACGTGTTTCGCAATGACCGCGAGTTGTCGGACGATCGTAAGTTCAACAATGATCGTTAACTCGTTTATATATTGTCTTGTATTTATCGATGACGGCCAATTAAATGGTAATTGCAAGTTATGCGACTTTTGAAATGCTTTACTAAATTAGGCCAGAAAGAGAAATGAGGTTCTAACGATTAGTTCATGTTTTTCTCTTCTAAAAAATGATACTAACGACGCCTTGAATTTTAATTTTATCGCAAAATTTCTTAGTCAAATTGATTCACTGAATTTGAATAGCTTGACTAAGAAAAAGATATAATCTTTCGCCTCCTCCAGTACAAAACTTTCTATGCATTTTTCGTAAGACACTAGTGGACATAAACATTTTTTGCTAGAAAGCTAAAATTAAAATGTTGAAGTTGTGTAATTGAACTATTTATTGTTCATATATATTAGCCAAAACCCCATTTGTCGTCGACGTCGTGAATGTGTAGAAGAAGCTGCGAGCCAGACCAATATTAGGAACCGGCCACAATGATGACTTGGTGCGCATTATTGCCTATGTTGATAATGACAAATGATGAATTCTAAAGTCACCGTGGGGCTTTCTAATATAAATCTACACTGATCGGCTCAAACAAATATCTCAAGATCTGAATAAAAAAATATATATTATGATTTGAATCTAGACCTTGAAGTTTAATTTCAAAAGTTAGTTATATAAGGAGGGTTTCTTGCGGTGCATTGATGGAGTCGGCCACAGGTTCCTGGAGAAGTTGGATTCGGAAGGCGAAGCGAGCCGCGCACTTTAGAGCATTCGAACGAGCGTCGCAGGCCAACCGTAGAACGGACACGAAAACACAATTCGCTGCACAATATCCGCTCGAGCAAGAATAAATGGGAGTAACTTTTTAGTGGCCGAGGCAATGCGGTGTTGGGTCGCATATACTGTATATATAGATATTTATTTTTAGTATTAGATGACAGAATTAGCTTGTTTAAACTATTTAGGTTAATGAACAGAGAATATCGAGTTAAATTTTTATGGCCGAATGATTGTTATATATATTTTGATTATAAATTTACAATATATATTTTTGTGTATATATATATGTAAAATATACTGAAACATCTGAGGTACTTTTATATGTAGAGAATGGAGAGAAGGTGCTCGATTATGTAGCATTGCTAAGCCGCGGATGAAACCTTTAGAGATTTCTTCATAAATTTTATAAGATTCTCGCACGAAAACAGGTCATTCACGTAACAAGGTTTTGCTGGCATCAAAAACATTTCGAAATGAGGAAACCTAACTACGTCAATTTGTGTTGGGAGTTCTAAAAATATTCAATTGACACCGTTGCCAGATTTAGTTGTACTTCCATTATCAATGCGTGGTCAACTATCCCTCAAATCGAACAATCTTAATAACCATTGCTACTAGGATGGCCGGCTTGTAGCATATTTTTGAATGGAAAAACCTGCATTTGAGTCCCAGTGATATCTTGTGTTCAGATAACTTTGTTACTTATAAGTTTATTGAAAGTCACTTTCATGGATGGTAAGTCTAAAATTGTCTGCAGAACACATGTGTTTTAGTCGTGAAAAATTTCTTCTTTTAGTTAATTGCTTGTTCGCCAGTAATTTGGCAAATGCAAGTGCCACGACTTTAATTTGGCACAAAAATATCGAAGTTTAAGCATTTTGTTTTGCACATTCATGTGGTACCCACGAATGTACTACTGTCGGTTGAGAATTAAAACTGTTCTCCGAACATGATGTTATTTCACTGTTCTCCTAGTGTATATCAACGAACATTTACCAAACAGAGCTCGGTTTCAAGCATTCAGTAGCACCAGCAAAACAGGCAAAGCTGAATGCCAATAAACAACTTATTCTCGTTTTGTAGTTGAAAAATAATGCATTTAATTTAATTTTCCAGCGATAACGAATTCCAGGCTGCTGGGTTTGGGTTATCAATTATGGCTGCACGTGTGGGTAAAAAAAATGTGTATACTGATAGAGATTTTACAATTATATAATTATACGATAATTAGCACGATATTCTTATCAATCTTTAATTAGGACCGGAGAACAAAAGCTGAACATAATTATATGATTTTCCAAAAAATGTAAGCTTGCCATTAGCGAAACCGCTCATGCTTTGAATTTAGTAACTATGGTAATATTTTAATTTATTTTAATAGAGCGATACGCAAATACTGCAAAAACTAGATTGTATCTTAACTGATTAGAATTTTCTTTGCAATATATTCATATTATTATGAGACACTAACGGCCTGGAAACGACTGCTGCTCCAATGAATTTTAGAGAAAGTTCAGCCGCGAGTGCACCCAGGTGTTTCATGGCCAGCTTCCGATACGCTTAATTTTTTCTTGCAAATTACGAGTATGTGTGATGGCCACCCTTGTAGAGCAGCAACTTCGGCCTACCCATGGCCGGATATTGGCCGCCGAAAACGCGGCCATGGTTCCAAACACCGCTAAAGGCACGAGTTGTGTGGTACCAATGCCATGGTAGAAGTAGCGTGTCCAAGGTAATAACAGGGATAGCTAATAGCTTTCATATGAAGCCAGTCAGTCATTAGCTCTGCCGCTCATGATTACGACGTACAACAAGCAAGCCATGGATCGCTATGGGAATAATAGCTTTTTTTACCTGAAATTAGTTATGATTATTATCGCGTTTATCTTACTGGAGTGGCTATATAGTTTTACTAGATAGCTTTCCAAGAAAGGCAGGTAGCTAGCTAGATTGCTTTGTTTATCAGTAAGCCAACAAGCGATATGGAAACAACGTCGTTTAATTAAAAATCTGTGTTCATTCTTTCATGATTCCAAATAACAAATTTAAAATATTGATGTAAATAATTGATAAGATGATTCAAAAACAAAAATTCCGCTCATTTTATAATAATTGCAAAACTGAGCCCGGTGAGGAGGAGAATATTCATAAATATTGGCATTATAAGACATTTTTATGGTGAAAAAGGGAGAATTTAATTGTCAGCTTACTTAAAAGTGCTGTACTGATAATTCCATATTCAGATTTTCTTATAGTGAAGTATTGATCATGTCATTCTCATACTGCCTTATGGTGCTACATGATCGTGTCATTTTAATACAGAAATATAATGAAATATTGATTTCTTCATTGTTAATCCATCGATAAATTAAATACAGATAATTTCATTGCCAGGCTATCTCATAACAGACCTATTGTTTGGCAGAAATATCGACTTTTGCTGCACATTTGGAAGCTCCAGAAGACCACAAACTCGGTCCGACATCACTAGGAGTCGTTGGGTCTGTTTCACGGCCCAGAGTTTCAATCGGGTTCGTTCCTCATGAGATTACTTGGAGCGTTTTAGTGGTCACTTCAATAAAGCCAATAATGCAGCACTAATTCGTCTGTTGTTCTCGACCTGGAAATCTTAATGAGTCTTGCCCGATAACAATGCAGCGTGCAGCGACCGTATCACTTGGGATTCATCAAATGCATGGAGAGGCTCGTGGCTTGACCTCTGCCACGTAAATGAACCTTTTTAGCGCATTTTCTCATTTATGGAAAAAATGCACTATTGTGCTCACCATGTCCGTCCGTCCGTCTGTCTGCCTGTCTGTCCGTCCGTCTGTCCGTGACCTTAAGTTTTCGTCGACGAGAAAATGCGCTCTCTGTCACTCACTGCAGTGAGAACTGAGTTATATTTTTTATCTATTTTTCAGACTGTGGAAAGTATGGTAGCAGTATTTGACGAAAC